TGCAAAGTTTTAGGCTTTGAATTTTATAATTAGTTGAGTTCTGGAAAACTCATATTTTCTATCTTCAGTTTGAAAGCAAATGCACAAGGAAACTGGTGATGATTGATGATAATTGTTGTGATTGATTAAGAATTGAAAAAGTTATTAAATGAGATATGAAAATTAGTTGATAATGAATAATACTTGTAGTCTGGAAATTTTATTTTCAGAAGGTGATGATTGAGACGGCTCTAACGAGAGAAAAGGGGCAGAGCAAATTGAAGTTTGACCATTTAAGGATATTATGGAAAAAAATATTGTAATTTTGCTCTGCCATCTAATTTCGGCCCTGACAATATCACCCGCCTTAAAAAAATAAGATTTAAATTACTAATGTTATTATCCTTTCCTTATATCTCTTTCGTTGAATTAATAGTTTCTCTCCTTAATTACTTAGATTTAGCGCGTGTATCCACATTAGGTTCACATTGTTATATAGACTATGGTGTACAATATAACAATTCCTAAAAATTCCTATCAAGGTGCCAGAAATTTGGTAGACCTTTGATCTCTTTGGAGAATAAAAGTGGTTTTGAATCTTTTGGTACATTCTTGTACATGATAGTGTACAAGTTGTAAGGTTCAACAAGATAACAGGTTGGATAAGACTTAAGAGGGGATATCTTCGATCGCCAGACCGTTCATAGAGATTTCACCTCTTGCTAAAAGATCAAGCTGCCAATATTTCTTCAAGCTTTTCAACCCAAAATGCTTCGGTTCTCGGCTTAGCTAGATCACTGGATTGGCAGCCTTGAATGGAAAAGAAACCACAAATGCCCAAATTTCAGTGATAGACAGGAAGGAAGAAATGCTATATATATATATATATAGATTAAACCATCCTCTCCAATGAGTACGAAAAGGTTAAAAGTGACCTGTTTGAAGTACCAAAAGGCCAACACAAATATTCTGTATTACGTAAACCTCAATCAAGTAAGTCATTTAATAGTTTTTTTTTTTTTTTTGAGATAGTACAAGAGAGGGATAATCTGATTTCAGGACGGAGAGAATATTCTTTTGTAACGGAGTTTGTTTGTATTTCTGTTTTATTTTATTTTTCACAAAAAGAAGATATGTGGCCTGAAATTTGAAAAGGACGCTGGGAAAACGCCGAACTCACAACCTATGAAGAAGTAAATATGTTCAGGCATGAAAGAAACGAACCATATAGCTAGCCAAACGTTGTAGCTTTAAAGTTGACCTTTTCATCTGATTTTTTGGCCTTTCCGCAACTTGACCTTTCACAACTAGTTCAGAAAACAAGGCCCTTCGGTGCTGGAAACCGACACCAATTTCATATCCTTGTTAAGATTACGATGCAAAATTAAAAAACTATATGTGCGAAATTATCTTTTTCATTGTAGTCGTTGATAACAGCCGCCTAATCTAAATTACACGAACTCTCTAAAATGAAATTTATCATGATTAATCTGTTTATCTCAAAACCATAAAGACATTCGTTTGATCACCAAACGAGAGAATGAATACATGTACGTTGATTTGGTCTATTTGTCGTTTGAAAAGAAAAACGATGAAAATTAAAAAAAGAGAATAAGAAATTATTCATTTTGGAAGAATGGTTTTCTGTTGGCTGTTTTAGACTCAAGTGACGGTGAACTTTGTAAAACTTACAGCAGTCCCGAAACCGTCTATGTTAAATTAGTCCGAAAGCAATATATATACGCTCGATAAATCATCCAACACCACAACTTGATTGCGGAAATCTTTTTTCTGGATGAAATCAACCCTTAAAAAGTTGTATAAAACATTCGATCTAGTAACTCTGTGGCTCTCAACAAATCTTTGCATGTGACCACCAACGCCACAAAACATCACCATTCCCTCAACTTTTCTAACTTTCCTCCCTTTCGTGGACCCCTTTGTCCAGGCCACGAGTATACATGCATACGGTTACATAAAAGATAAAACAGTCTAATCATAATACACTGGAAAAAATATTACTATTTCCGTACCAAAAAATAGTCCACATTGAATTTTCAAATTTATACTAAAAACAATACAAAATTCAAAACTCAATGTGGACTATTTTGTGGAATGGGAGGAGTATTACTTTATTGAGTGAACCTCAAAACAAGTCATTAACCTTTAATCTATTACTACTCTAGGTCATCAATTAAATTTATTTGTAACACATGTTACCTTACTAAAGTTTTAATCCATTTCAGATTTTTCTGTTAATTTTGACCGTTAAATAGTGACGGAAATCTATTTTTCACATGCTTTTGAGTTTAGGAGTATTTTTGTCATTTTATTATTTTTAAATTTTTTGATCTTTTAAAAAAAAATTTCTTTTTTTTTTTTTGCAATTCTTGTTCTTATACTTCCTAACCTGTATACACTGGTAGTAATTCTAAATTTTCAAAATTTAATTTTCTTTTGTATTTTAACTTTTAGAATATAAAATTTTTTCAAAAAAAATTTAAGAAATGAAGAAGAAAAATTCGAGTTAAAGTAAACATGAAAATTAATAATTTACCATTTTAAACAAAAAAAAAAACAAAAAGAATTAGCAAAGAAAAGTTGTTTCTTCTAGGTTATTTAATTTTTTTTCAACTCGATTGAATTATTTAATTATTAATTTCATGTTTCTTATTCCTTTTTTTTATAATCTAGAAGTTAAGATACAAATGACAAACAAATTCATTTTTGAAAATTAATTTGTCATTTGTATATTAAATTGTAGATTATTAAAAAAAAAAGAAATAAGAAACGTGAAAATTAATAATTAAATTATTCAATCGAGTTGAAAAAAATTAAATAACCTAGAAGAAACAACTTGTCTTAGCTAATTATTTTAATTTTTCTTTTTGTTTAAAATGGTAAATTATTAATTTTTATTTTTACTTTAACTCGAATTTTTCTTCTTCATTTCTTAATTTTTTTTTAAAAAAAAATTATAATATAGAAGTTAAAATACAAAAGGAAAATAAATTTTTAAAATTTAGAATTATACTAATACAAGTTAGGAAGTATAAGAAAAAGAATTGTAAAAAAAAAATTTAAAAGATTAAAAAATAAAAAAAAAGAAAATACAAAATACCCCTAAACTAAAAAACATGTGAAAAATAGATTTCCGTCACTATTTAACGGCTAAAATTAACAGAATAATCTGAAATGGATTAAAACTTTAATAAGGTAACCTGTGTTACAAATAAATTTAATTGATGACCTAGAATGGAAATATATTAAAGGTTGATGACTTGTTTTGAGGTTCACTTTACTTTATTTGTTCAAAAAATTTGAACGTAATAATCGTTTCCAAAATAGAAAAAAATTTTAATTCTCTTATGTATTCGACAGAAATTTTGGAAGGAGAGCGTCTTCAAATGCTCAAGATGATAAGAGGATGATGTATTGATGTGCATTTGAACTGATACTTTTTGGGTTAATCATGTACTTATAAATTTTCGGACAGTTCATGGGAAAAAATGATATTTAATTAATTTATCGTTTTTTTTTTGGTATTTTTGTGTGTTTGTTGTATTCCCTCCGATCCTTAATATAAGGTGTTTTGATTTATTCTATGTTTCATCTAATATTCATTTTTTATTGACAAAAAAATCTTAAAAATATATTTTTACATTCATTATATTCTCTCGATTATTATAAATTATTTTTAAGATTTTTTTGTTAATTAAAAATGTGTAGTATATGAAATTTAGAAAAAATCAAAATGACTTATAATAAAGACCGAGGGAATACTTGATTACTTGTACAGTGAATAAAGTCACCACTTTTCATGATCAAATTGACAACGTGATATACATATGCATGAATTTTTACAAAATATCTGAATTTCGTAAAACTATAATGTAATAATTGTATTGAAGCAGATTTTTAAGTGGAAAATAATAATTTATAACACTACTATTATCATTATGTGTTGTTCGTTTTTTTTTAAGAAAAAAACATTTTGTCAGATGTCTACCACTGATAACTTTGACTATTTTTCAATTGGCTAAATTATAAGTACTTGGATATATGGGATAGTTGACCCCAAAAGATTTAAATTGTTCATGCTTGTCTCTTCCACTTTACCGTAATCTCTTTGATTCTTGATCAAACAATCCTAACAAAATTTCAATAACGGATAGAGTTAAATAACAATTTATAAATCTGTACGATGGAACTAGATCATTATTCAACTAGTGTAAAACAATGTCATATAAGAAATAATGGTTTCATTATTCAACCGGAAAATGAGTATACTGTGTATATATGAAGGTTTTCAAAATTCCGATCCGGATCTTAGAATGTTACGATTCAGCGATCCAAAATCTGGAAATCGATCCTGGATCTTTTAAAATCTTTCTTTGTAGTGGGATCTTATGCAATCCTTCAAAAATCTCAATTCGGATCGTAGGAAAGATCCTACGATCCGAAAAAATTAATGGGATCGTAGGAAAGATCCTACGATCCCATTAATTTTTTCGATACTTGTACAAATTGTTGATTTCGTATAAAAAGAGAGAAAAATAATTAGAAAAAATATAAAAGTTGAAATTTTGAGTTGATGATACTTATGTAGGCACTAGTATAGTTGTCCTAATCAAACAAGAATTGAACTAACAAATTGAAACTCGTAATTTCAAAATTATTATATTATTTTAAATTATTACGATCCCACTGATCCGATCCCATCGATCCAGAATCCAATCCGATCCTGAGATACTAAAACGATCCTGTGTGAAATCCTGATTTTGAAAACATTGGTATATACTAATGGTCAACCTAACTCATAGCCGGTTCGGTTTGTTTCCTCGACCATATGACAACCACTCGCTGTACACGTGCTAGCAGCCTAGGATCAGCTAAAATTAAATCTGTGGCTTATATAAGTCATCGCTCCATGTCTATTTCCGTCATTTCACTCTATACCGTCTTCCTCCCCATTTTGTCTGCGTACTCCAATCCAGTAAGTCCACTCCTGAAAGGCCCAACCAATCAACATCGAGCTCCACTTCCAATCACTTCCTTCCACATCAGCTAAACCTGCCCACGAACAACGACATCTCGCCACGTGGAAAATCGCCCACAGCGGCGATGAACTCTAAAATAATAATGGCGGAAACAGCGAAACCTTTTAAAGTCTAAAGACGGAGTTCTCAAAGCCAAATTGAGAAAATTACATCCCACAGCCAGACATTCACAAACCGTATATTCCAATCCCTCTATCCGCCGTTGGATTAGAATCCAACGGCTGAATTCACTCCTTGAAGTTTACGCCATTTTCCCCCATTTTTTCCCAGTTTATGCCATTTTCTCCGTTCATCAGTCATCAGATCTCCGCCACAGAAAGCCAGCCATGGCTTCTCTAGCCCTCACCTCCTCCTTAAACCTACGTCTCCGCCACACTCCGCCGCTAAAAGCCCGTCACTCACAATCCCCTCCCTCCGCCGTCTCCCTAAAATCCCGATCCCTCCATGCTTTCCACCATTTGAGTGCTCCGAAGCTCAATGTTACGAGAGTTTCCCGAGCTGATATCGGCCGGTGCCTTACAGTTAAGGCTGCTGCTTCTGGAGCTGCCTCGTCATCTCCGTCACCTGCTCCGGTGGAAGTTAAGCAGGCTCCAGCATGGCAGGGTGCGTCGATGAAGCCATTGATTGCTTCAATTGCGACCGGAGTTTTGCTTTGGTTGGTTCCGGCGCCTGCTGGTGTTTCCCGTAACGCTTGGCAATTGCTGTCTATCTTCTTAGCTACAATTGTTGGGATTATTACTCAGCCTCTGCCTCTCGGTGCTGTGGCGCTCATGGGTTTAGGTGCTTGTGTATTGACTAAGACGCTTACATTTGCCGGTGCGTTTTCTGCTTTCGGTGACCCGATTCCGTGGTTGATTGCACTTGCCTTTTTCTTTGCTAGAGGGTTTATCAAAACTGGACTTGGGAATAGGATTGCGTACCAGTTTGTGAAGTTATTTGGGAGTTCTTCATTGGGTTTGGGTTACAGTTTGGTTTTCAGTGAAGCCCTTTTGGCACCTGCGATCCCCTCGGTTTCGGCTCGGGCTGGAGGGATCTTCTTGCCGTTGGTTAAGTCGCTCTGCGTTGCTTGTGGGAGCAATGCAGGGGATGGGACGGAAAGGAAGCTGGGATCATGGTTGATGCTGACTTGTTTCCAAACTTCCGTGATTTCCTCGTCTATGTTCTTAACTGCTATGGCAGCTAATCCTTTGGCTGCCAATTTGACGCTGTCTACTATAAACAGACCCATTGCTTGGATGGATTGGGCTAAGGCTGCCGTTGTTCCTGGCTTGGTCTCCTTGATTGTGGTTCCGTTTCTTTTGTATTTGATTTATCCTCCTCAAATTAAGAGTAGCCCGGACGCTCCTAAGCTTGCCCAGGAACGCTTGGAGAAGATGGGACCCATGTCTAAGAATGAATGGATCATGGCTGCAACACTTGTTATCACAGTATGACTCTCCGTTCTCTTCAAACTCATTTTTCTGTTGATGCCTGTGTGATTGAATTTGAATGTGATATGAGTAATCGGTTGGTGTCTTTAAAGGGTTTTTCGTGTTCTGGTCCTTAGTGATGTCCATATCTATGTTTTGCATTCTAAACTGTTTTTAGTGCAAATTATAAAATTGGGTTGCTGATCTTTTAAGTCCGTTTACCTTGTGCTGAAATAGTCTCCATTAGTAGCTGCCAACCATCAAGTTCGCCTCTCTGAATAGAGTCTTAGAAGTTTTTTTTTTTTTTTTTTTTTTTAATAATAGCTTTCATCGTTGAACCTCTGAAAAGTGAATTAACTCAGCTAATATGTGCCGTAACATAGGTTGCACATTGCATTGAGATTATATTTTAATGACCATCTAGTGGATCTAAATCATATTTTGAAAGACCCTTATGGTTTTTTAATTGATTGTTTCACCTTGTCTCTTCATGCTCGGGCTCAGCAGTTTTTTCTTTATGAGTATTAGACTGATGATGGTGAAGATATGTTTATCAATGCTTGCTCTTTTGACTAGATGTATTGTTAACAGTACAGTGTTTGAATATATCACTAGCATGATGTAAAAATAAGTTTATGTAAGATTGTTTGCTCTAATTAGATTTGTGTGTATGTCATCACTGTTTTTCCAGAATCATGTTATAAGCTGCTGTACTCTACATTCGTGAAAATGGGCGATCACCATCCAGTGAAAAAGAATTTCAATAACATTTATCGTGTGAAAGGTGATACTTGTCTACTTGACAAATCCATTAGATCAAATTTCTAAAAGGAAACTGTATCTTGTCGTACCAGATGTCAGACTTGTTCAATTATGTTTTTGATTTTCTGATAGTGACTATTTGCTGCAAGGTAGAAGATAAACCCCAAAATTGTGTATGCACTTTTGAAATTTTGTCTACTCTGTTCAATGTAGCCATTCAAGTTTCTCATGAAAACTTTGTATTTCTGATGCTTCGTTTTTTAATGCAACTTTCATTCTCTTGTAACTGGGCCTAGGTTATCTCAACTTTATCTCAGCTTGGGCCAGTTATAGTGAGAGTTCTGTTATTTCCTTTTTTTTTAGCCATGTTTTATATAATGTATATATATTGGAAATGTACGAACTGCATCTCCACTCCAGTTTAACTCGCTCTATTAATCATTTTAGTGCGCTGTTAACCTGTTACTGGTGAAGTACCTACTATTTGTGAAGCATCTAAGACCCACAAAACTGAATAGTTGTTTGAATGCTCATCTGTGTGCTTTTTTATTGCCTTTCTCGAATAGTTAAGTGACTGCCCAAAATTAGCTATAGTGAGTCATTGTTTCAAGAACTCTAGTTTTGCCCTGAATAATGCTTGTCACTGAAACTTTCTAGATCTAGTCTTTGTTTTGTATAGTGTTACTTTAAGATGCACAAATAATATGGCAATGAAATACAAAGTCATGTCCAAAATTCAAGCAGGATGAAGTCCTTAGATTTGAATTTTTGTTTGCTTTCATCTTATCATCTTATTGTCCTTTTATCGAAAAGGCTATTTTTTTGCCAGTGGGCCCTCATTTTTATGCATTATACATCATTTGGTAAATGGATCATGTGTTGAAATGTCTGTCCCATAAAGAGTTTATATGTTGCAGTTTTTCAGAAGCAGTTCTTTATATTTTACCGTCTTTGCTGTACCAGGTGGGTCTATGGGTTTTTGGAGGTGTACTCAATGTGGACGCTGTAACTGCTGCTATTCTTGGTCTGTCAGTTCTCCTTATTACTGGTGTAGTCACATGGAAGGAATGCTTGGCTGAATCAGTTGCTTGGGACACCCTGACATGGTTTGCCGCTCTTATTGCTATGGCTGGATATCTAAATAAATATGGCCTCATCTCATGGTTCAGCCAAACTGTTGTCAAGGTCTGCTTGTCCTTTTTCTTGCTTGTGTTTCCTATTAGTTATTATATGTAGTGCTTTTTGAATTTGTCAAAAGTGTGATTCCCATTTGCAATTTCATTTCTTATCAAATTGTCCTTAAAGTTGTCTCCGTGTGACTTCATGTTTCTTGAAACTCTGGTTCTCTACACTGTGTTTGCCATTTTTTTTGTAAAATTTATGCTTCTAGATGTATGTTTTACACTTTGGTGCTTCCATTCATTTATGGTCTTCGATGATTACTTCTTGGAGCCAGATTAGAACTATTAAGCTTCGATTATACAATCATCCATTTCCACAACCTGTTTTTGATACCTTCTTTCCACGTATCTTTTGTAATGTTGGATCTCTGTCAGCGTTCAGGTTCAGCAACAGTATCTAGATATTGATATGTTTGAAATTTGAGAAAATAAATAGTCTTCCCGGTGGTTTGATGTTGAGCTCTCTGCTAATAATTTAATGTATGTACTTCGTCATATTCAATCTCTTCATTTGAGTTATTAGTGTCTTGACATGCTTGAAATGTGAGAAAATAAATTGGTTCTCCTGGAGCTTTACTATTATAAGCTCTCTGGTGACGCTTAAATTTATTGATTTCATCATATTCATTCTTTTCTTTGAGTTGTCATTACTCATTTTCTTTCACCTTCCATCATAGGCCTGTAGAATTTACAATCACTGTGTATTCTCGTGTTGCTCTCCATTATTTTGCTTTTTTTCTTGTCTCTTGTTTACCTATATTCAAATGGTGGTGATGGTTTCTTGCAAAAGAGAAAAAAAGAAAATGCAATTTTGTTTTCTCATCCCATGGCAGAATGAAATACTTCAAGGTTTTTGAGTTATTGTCTTTGCCACTACTGTAAGAGATGTAATTGCTTTTATTTATGCTTGCACTTGTGTTGAGGAAGCACAGACTTTTTCCATTTTTCTCTTCATTTTCTAAGTTGTGGTTGATGTAACCTGACTAACACAAGTTCATGCGTTTTCTTGCAGTTTGTCGGAGGACTAGGACTGTCTTGGCAGCTATCTTTTGGCATTCTTGTTCTTCTCTACTTCTATTCTCACTACTTTTTCGCTAGTGGAGCAGCTCATATCGGTGCAATGTTCACTGCCTTCTTATCTGTCGCTAGTGCTCTGGGCACTCCATCCTACCTGGGTGCATTGGTTTTGTCCTTCCTTTCCAACCTTATGGGTGGGCTCACACATTACGGAATAGGATCAGCCCCAGTGTTTTATGGTGCTGGCTATGTGCCGCTTGCACAATGGTGGGGTTACGGATTCATCATTTCGGTAGTCAATATTCTGATCTGGCTTGGAGTTGGCGGCTTCTGGTGGAAGTTCATCGGATTGTGGTAGAGATTTTGGTTATAGAACTTGCTGATACTTCTTTTGCTATCTGTTTTAGGCCATCGACAACAACTTGGAGGTACTCAGTTACTGTTTAGATGGGATGCTCATTGTGAAACCCTTGATTCTTTTTGCCAAATAAGATTTGTGTAGTAGACTTAAAGGAAGAGGAAATTATGATAAGAGGGGATACAGATATGGTGTGATACTGTGATGTGAATTACAGCTGAGGCATTTTGTAGTTAAAATTTTGACGATGCGTTGGAGCTCAAAATTTGTAACCCTTATGATTGAGACTTGAGACTTAACTGTCTTTTCTCATTCTGGAAACCACTTGAATATTTACAGAATTTCTTCGATGCTACTTCGCTGAGGTCTTGTATTTTTCCACTCTCTGATTAACTCCATACATCAGCTGCGAATTTATCTTCTGCCAATTGATCAATGTATAACATTTTTCACTACTCCCTCTGTCCAAATCCACCATGCCATCGCTATTCCATCAATACTATTATTGTCGTAGTTGCAACTTCACTGGTGATAATGGTGGCAACGACGAGGTTTAATTAGTCGGTGGTGTAATGGTGGCAACATATTTAATGTATCTAATTGATTAAAACGTCTAGCCAGATAATATTACCACAATATTACCACTATAAATAAAAAATATTGGAAACTATTCATAATTATTTTTTAAGAAAAAAGATAAGATTATTAAAAGAATGAAATAGATAAGATTATAAATATAAGATTGTAAAATAGGTAACTATTTACAACACTATATATATATATATATATATAAAAACTCTAAATATTAGAATCAGTTCTTTGCCAACCAGGGTTGCCCAAGTGATAGTGGGCATGATATCAAAATCTGAAGTCTCAAGAGGTCCTAAGTTCAAACCCCTTCCCTATAGGCTTCACCCCACATGTAATAGACTAGATATTTGTAATTGTGTATAAAAAAAAAAGAAACAAATTATTAATTGTGTATATATAAAAAAAAACAATTCTTCATCATGGTATTTCGATCTAGAACCTCTAACTCTACTAACTAGGCGGACCACTAGAAGAAGTGTCACGGTGAGCACTTGATTAATAGCATCTACTGATATTTATCAAACCTCTAACTCTACTAACTAGGCGGGCCACTAGAAGAAGTGTCACGGTGAGCGCTTTATTAATAGCATCTAGTGATATTAACTGCGATATAACGATAAATTTGAAGTCTTATGATTAGGAGTAAATTTTACCAAAACAAAATCTAGCATCCAGGACAAAATTTGAGTAAGAAGACATAATTACCCTTCATAATAATGGGAGCAGTTTTCATCATCTTCTTCACCTCTTTGCTTCCGCTCCTACGGAGTTTCGCGGCCGCCGCAAGGGAAAACAAAAAAGAAAAAAGCAGAATTTTTGAAAATTGTCTCATTGATCATTTCCCATAGTTTTGCTTATCTCATTGAGAGCTTTGTGTTCCTATTTTTCATCCCAAGAAAAAAGAGAAAACCAGTTTTTTCGCTCTTAGTATTACATGCTTCAGACCAGTGGAAGCTAATAAATTCACAGTTGAAACAATCAAATAAATTTTTTGTGATTGGTAAAGAATCACCAGATCCCAATTACAAAACCTTTTAGTACAAACAAATAATTTGGAACATTGAGGTGGGTGTTCTTAACAAGTTTGAATAAGTTTTTTTACCTATATATTTTTTCTTCTGCAAAATTTAGGAGGAGCTGTCAAGACAGTTAAAGATGATCACTAATTAAGAGGGATAATTGTGTCATTTTATACTAACATTATTTTAGATGCTAAAAACTGTTTTGGAATGATCACGGCCTTTGTCAAAATCCCATTTACTTGATAGTAATAAATTCAGTAACATTACGACTCAAGAAAAATTTAAATAAATGGTAAACTAGTTTATCAGTCCGGGCAACTGTTTAACATATCTAAAAAAAGAGTACATATGTAGAATAGAAAGAAAAACATATTTTGCTATGATAAAAAAATTAACTTACCATAAATTAAATTAATCTATGGTAATTTTAAATATATGCATAAAATTATGAAATTATCCCGATTATCAATTTTTATTCTAATATTTACTTCCAAAAATAGATGCCTAAAATTTATTGACCCATAAAAATTAAATTAATTTACTATAGTAACTTTAACTAGATGCCTAAAATTATGGCATTCCTTTACAACTCTTGAAAGCAACTGCCACGTGGTTTTTGTAGAGTTTAGGTGTGAAAATTTTTTTTGTGGAGCTGCCACGTGACTTTTGTGACAACTGCTTTCAATAGGTATGAATGGACAATAAAAAGTACTAACGTAGATTATCATTCCATTTTGGAAATCATACAATCAACTGATATACTACAGCATTTGGATTTGTTTTTCTATATATGAAATACCTAAACTATTACACGGATTTTTGAGAAAATGAAATTAAAATTTGACATCGATCCAACGGCACAAGATCTTCTGTGCCACTTTCTTGTGATACTCGTTGTGCCACAATTCAATTACTCTTTATAAATTATGTAATTTGTGCTAATACATATACTATTCACAATTATTTTGGAACTTATATATTTTAGGACTAAGGGTTCACTTTTTTCGGGTTAGGGCTTATTTATTTTAATTTTTATAGTTAAAAAATTCAATAAATATAGTCAAATTTCATAAAAAAATAAAACAGTGATATAAAAAATAAAATAAGAATATGAAAGTTATCTACATTGAAAATATGTGACTATGGTATATGTATTCGCACAAATTATCTAATTTTTAAGGAGTAATTAGATTGTGTCACATCGAGTGTCACAAGAAAGTGATACAGAGGATCTTGTGCCCCGATTGAACCTGTTGTCCCTAATTATCTGTTTACTTGGATTCGTGCTGAACGACGCCGGTAAAAATCGAACCTGAGCTAAGGGCGTCATTTCATTCCCATGGTCTGACTGAAATACATATGCGTGAGAATGTTCATACATGCTCTAAAAATATTATGTACATATTACATGTCTCACAAAAATAATTCACATCAAAACTCAATATGGATTTTTTTTATGGGACGGGAGAAGTATTATCCTTACAGTTATAATGTTCGCCTCTAAATCACAGTCATATGAGCACAAGTTTTTTAATCTCCAAGATAGTATAAGAGTACATTGATTTATTTATTTTTTTTGTTGTTTCGTAAACATTCTTCTGACACTATAATAATTGAGTTCAAGTGTGCGACGAGCTCGACAGAAATTCCAGCCATGATTGATGTTTGTTATTATATGGAGAGGTAATTAATCACCTATTTCACCATCAAAGAAATTAGGTCAAAAAGGAAATTAATAATGATTAACTTAACCTTCCTGTGCCAATAAGTAGAGGAATTACTTTTAGGAATTTCTATCTAAATCCAGAAAGTGTAACCCAACCAGTAGTCTAGTGATATCAACAGCATTATTAGGTCCATTATTTTCTTCCACATATTACACTGCCAAGTCCACCGCCAAAACTACTTGCATTTGGCATCAGTACAGCAATTTCCTAACCAGAATGGTACAAACTTCCCCTTCTTTTAGTTTTTTCTTTCAAGAAATTATTTTAGTTTGTTGTACTAATTAAGACTTTTTTTCTTATGGAAGAAAGAGGGGGCTCTATGTAAGAGAACTAAATTGTTGTTAATTAGGAAACTATCTCCAAATCTAATTGACTGATTTGCATTATTGCTACAACATTTATGATTTACTATAATCTACATATGCGTGAAACGTGATTCATTTGATTGATTTAGTCATGTCTGTCTATATATACATTGTTACATTTTCTACATGAATATTAATGGCTCTGTCACCTGAATGATTGATTAATTTTCTCAACATGAAGTAAGGAAATGTCTCAAACTCTCCATCTCAATATCAGGGTGAGATGGTTTGGTAAAATGGTACGCATGAACGAATGACTGTAAATTGTAATCACAAGTAGGGGTGGGTGCGGTTTGGTGATTAAAGTCTTCGATCCAGATAAATCGGATTTTTATTTTTCTTCAAGAGAAATTTAACTGTCCGAAATTCGAACTGAATAAAATGGTTGACCAAATCTGAATGATCAAAATAGTTTTGGCTTTTTCGGTTCGGTAGCCATTTTAATCGAAACATTATTTTCAATTACATTAGTTAAATTTTTTAGTTAAAATCTTCCATGACTCAGTCAATATGTGAATTATAATATAACTGTAAAAATTTGTAAATTTTTTATCAAGTATGGTTCAAATCACATATGTTCACGAGACATTCAATAACAAATTATTGATCTACATCTAACTGATTAACTGGGAGCTAATAAAATATGTTTTGATTTAATTTCAAATTATGTCACATTCAGTTATAGATGGCATGTCGAGTGGTTCATTATTTATGATATTCAAAAAATTATGTTATTGGTAATATCAAATTTGTAAAATTAAATTATGAATTTATTTATGTCCAAACTATTACTAATATATATATATATATATATATATTATGTGTGGTTCGAACCGAACCAAACTAAAAATTTCGGTCCGGTTAACCAAAATAAAAGTATGAATCTGAACCGAACCATTAACTTCCTTTTAAGAGCGGTTCGGTTCAAAATCCGAACCAAAAACCATTTTGAGTCGAACCAAACGGTTCGGATACAGTTTGGTTCGGACGGTTCTCACGGTTCAGTTAAACTGAGCCCACCCCTAATTACAAGGGGCGGTGATCATTATTAAAGAGTCTCAATCCCACATCGGTGTTGGGAGACTCTGAGTATCAATATATAAGCTCCATGGGCTACTCCCCTCATTGCCAATTGGTTTTAAGGTGGAACCTCATGGGCTTCTATATGGTATCAGAGCAGGTTCTATCCTGCGTCTGGTTATTTTTTTCCATTATCTTTTTTTTCTTTCGTATATCTATCTATCAATCATGACTTTTATCATTCTAAAACTCTCTCTAACCAATTATTCATTGTCTGGAGAGATTATCGCACAGAGGCAAGGACATATCCATCAACTCACAACTCAACCATTTATTCATCCTCAAATTTCATTCATCAGCACCAAAAAAAAAAAAAAAGTCTCACCTGGATCCATTCAAAACAATTTCAGTCATGACAAAAGTCCGAGAAAATCATATCCCTTGGACTTGTCATTGTTTTTTACACATATATTTCTCTGAAAAGTACTCAAAAATGAAATACACATATTTTTCGGAGAATTATTAAGAAAACTAAGAGCCAAACTCCAAAAAAGTCCACACAAAAATAGGACTGAGACGTGAAGCGGTACCTGGGCTGAAAAAATAGGACAAGTCCAACCCAAAATACGTTAGACTTGCGAGTGAATATTAAAGAGTCTCAATCCCATATCGGTATTGGGAGACTCTGAGTGTCAATATATAAGCTCCATGGGCTACTCCCCTCATCGCCAATTGGTTTTGAGTTGGTACCCCATGAGTTTCTATAATCATACCAAAACATTTTTTAGCATCCAAAACAATTTTAGTATAAAAAGACACAATTGTCCCTCTTAATTAGTGATCATCTTTAACTGTCTCGACAGCTCCTCTTTAATTTTGCAGAAGAAAAAATATATAGGTAAAAAAACTTATTCAAGCTTGTTAAGAACACCCACCTCAATGTTTCAAATTATTTGTTTGTACTAAAGATTTTGTAATTGGGATTTGATGATTCTTTACCAATCATAAAAAATTTATTTGATTGTTTCTGACTGAATTTATTGGCTTTAACTGGTGTGAAGTATGTAATACTAAGAGCGAAAAAACTAGTTTTTTTTTTTCTTGTGATGAAGAATGAGAACACAAGGCTCTCTATGAGATAAGCGAGAACTCTGGGAAATGATCAATAAGAGAACTTTTAAAAAATTTTGCTTTTTTTTTTTTTGTTTTCCCTTGCAGCGGCAGCAAAACTCTGTAGGAGCGGAAGCAAAGATTGAAGAAGATGACGAAAACTGCTCCCATTATTATGAAGGGTAATTATGTCTTCTCACTCAAATTTTGTCCTGGATGTTAGATTTTGTTTTGACAAAATCACCTTCCTTTTGGCAATTAAAGCAGAAAAGTTTTAAAATATTTTCACGCACCAATTTGAAGCATTAATCAAAGTCTAATCTTGAAGCCAAAAGATTTCATTTTAAATGAAAGCTTTTTCTTTTCTTCTTAAAGAAAAAGAGGAGGGTAGAAATTTATTCAAGGTGAAAAAAAAAATTATCCCTTCCTAATAGAGAATGCATAAACGATGCATTCATTACCCTACACCGGGCCAAAAATAACTCTATCTAGAATTTATGGATATATTCTTTTTCTAAAAAGTTATCATCTCCGTCATCGTAAAGAATAATAATAATAATCATAGAATTTCCATGAAACTGATGAAAACTATAATGAACTTGAGAAAATGGGTGGTAATTTGTAATAGACGTGAAATTTATCTGAAAAGAATTTGTAGCATAATTTGAATATTTCTAGTAGTGTGATATGAGAAGTTTCGAATGGAATAGCAAGCAAATACAAAAACTGCCACTATTCAAGTATATAAAGTTAAACTGGTGAAAATGATATTGTCATTTCTCATATGAAAGATTGAAAATTATCATTAGTGAACATGGTAACAGAAAATAAGGCTCGACCAATCACCGAGCTATGTTTGGTTCATTTGGAAATAACACGTTATAAATCGTGTTGGCTCCTTTTATAAATACACTGAAACACTATATAACTCAGACCACTGAAGTTACAAGTTCTTAAAGCTCATTTAAACTAAGTTTCTCTTTCACAAGTTGGCAACTCTGTCTTCTGTCTCCTAATTAATCAGGTTCATATCAATGCTAATTACCGGTTTTTTTACATTCAAATTGAGTCCTATGCATGCATGATGGTCTAATGGTATTTTCAGCTGAGCTTCCCTTATATTTGCAACTGAACTTATGCTTCCATTGAAATATGAAACTTCCAAGATTGTTTCACAGGAAGATATATATGGCTAGTTTGAAAAACTCTTTCATTGTTGTCTGTAAGTTTTAGCCTCTTGTTTTTTTCTTGATGATCAGTTCCAATCCTAAAAGGTAGCTGGTGAGGTTTGTTGCCAAATCCATGGCTCAGAATGAAGATGTTGAATCTTTCAAGATGAAACCTCTGCAGATATTCTTTAATGATGCAAGGTGATGGATTCGAGTTATCAATCTATTAAAAGTGCTCATTCTGGTTTTTTTTTTTTTTTTTTTTTTTTGATAGTGGCTCATTAAGTATCCCTTCCATCAATGTTTCTAGTCAGGGGGGTGTCGAGAATTTGACACATTTATGATTTATCGATCAAGTTTGTTGGAAAAAAGTACAACAGCAGATGTTACAGCTGGAGAGTGCTAATTGTAATTTTGCTGTTCACTGTCGCAGGTCTGTGTTTAGAATGGATGAGATTGGAAAGGAAATCTTTAAGATTGCGCTACCGGCTGCTCTCGCTTTGACAGCTGATCCTATCGCGTCTCTGATTGATACTGCATTCATCGGGCGAATAGGTACTTGTTTTCAGTTTATACAAACATGTCTTCCATAAATGTTGGATTCCACCTTTGCTTTTAGGTTTCCCTAATCAGTTCATTTCCAAAGGTAAAATACTAATGCCTGAACCTGCCATTATGAACTTAATGCAGGTCCAGTAGAAATTGCTGCTGTTGGAGTTTCTATTGCTCTCTTTAATCAAGTATCTAGAATTGCAATATTCCCTCTTGTAAGTGTCACAACCTCCTTTGTTGCTGAGGAAGACACTAAGTCTAAAATCACTCCGAATCAAGATGATGAAAGCTTGGTTACGGTATCAACCGAAAACAGAGAAAGCAAAGACGCTATTACATCAGAAAATAATAAGAATGGTAGTGCTTTTTTCCTTCTGTGCGTGTGATACTAGTAGTACTTGAGAATGCGAATAGTGTTTCGAACCTAGCCTCATCATGATAGCTTAACAATGCTATTTTTTGGATTCTGTTTAAGACTCCTTTCTCGATGCAAATAAGTTCCGATCACCTGAGAATGGCCTTGAAATGGAGAAGAGTAAGACTGAAAAGAGGCACATTCCATCAGCATCATCAGCATTGCTTATCGGTGGCATTCTCGGCATCCTTCAAGCTGAATTCTTAATTTTGGCTGCAAAACCTTTATTGAACTTCATGGGAGTCAAATCAGTAAGTTGATCGTTGGCGTAGTCAGTTCACTTTCTAAAAGTGCAGAATGATCATATTTTGTTCCAAACTTACCGATAAATGGACTTTTCAAATTCTGATTGGTTATAGAATAACTACCATTTTTGGTGTTAGGATTCACCAATCTTCAAACCAGCAGAACAGTACTTGAAACTGAGGTCAGTTGGTGCTCCTGCAGTTCTTCTATCATTGGCGTTGCAAGGAGTCTTTCGAGGATTTAAGGACACGAAAACTCCATTATATGCAACTGGTAAGCCTTGAAACATGAAAAATTCTCTTCAAATAAGGAACTTTTTTTACTAATGACCTTCTTTTCACATGTCATGGTATATGTTTTAGCCTCTTCTGTAGCTCCTGCGTAAAAAGATGATATGACATTCTCGAATATTATAACTACTTGAGTGCTTCTAACAGAGTATTCATGATCTTGTGCGATTCAGTGATTGGAGACATCATGAACATAAGTTTGGACCCAATATTTATGTTTGTTTTCAAATGGGGTGTCAAAGGCGCTGCAATCGCCCATGTTCTATCTCAGTAAGTGAACAAAACTGTGTAATGTACCACCTCATTAACTTCTTGCCTGTGAAGGTTTGACATCATTTCTGACCTCAATTGATATTACAGGTATCTGATAGTAGTTATACTCTTTTGGAGGCTAGTGCAACAACTTGATCTTTTACCACCAAGCTTCAAACATCTGCAACTCAATCGTTTCCTTAACAATGGTAAGGATATTTGTTTTCTCTCCTTTAATTTTGTCATGTAGCAGGGATGATCTTTCAGCCTTAGTGTTAATAGGTTATAGTAATCCTCATTATTTAGATCTCATTCTGATTGAGGTTATAGCAGTTCTATAAAGGCATTATTGACTGAAGTTCCAACTAGGCTAATATCCTGCAGAAATCTGAAGTTTGGCACTTCAGAAGTCTTTTATTTTTTCTTATTCACGTGTATGGTTTACGAAGACAGTTATGTGGTTCTCAAACTCCCTGGTAACTTGTTGCTTGCAGCATGCTAAAATCCTACTTTTAGGCTATCTAAATAGTACAAAAACTTAACTGTCAAAAGTTCTCTGTTTTGTTACAAACTTCTATCCTCCACGGAAATTCAGTTTTTCTTTTTTGTTGACTGCAGGATTCCTTTTATTGATAAGGGTCATAGCAGTAACATTCTGCGTAACTCTTGCTGCATCATTTGCAGCACGAAAAGGACCTACATCGATGGCTGCATTTCAAGTGTGCTTGCAAGTCTGGATGGCCACATCTCTTCTAGCTGATGGGCTGGCTGTTGCCGGGCAGGTTAGAAATGTGAAATGTCATGTCCTATGTGAATACAAAGAAATTAAACTCAATCAAAGAAAAGATGATCGAGTTTATTTACAATCTTAAAAGATGAGTAAATCACACCTGAAGAAAACCAATAATCAGATAAAGCAACTCTAGCAAGAGACATCGCTACTGAGTTCTTTTTTCCTCCCTTTCTAAGAAAATAGTTTCTAAGCCAACAATGCTTAAGCAGATCTGTTGGTTCTTTTAGGCTCAACTTGCCAGTGCATTCACACAGGAGGATTATAATCGAGCAGCGGCCATTACATCGCGAGTATTACAGGTACTTATGCACTTGAGAATCCTGTTTGGAGTCAGGACAGCAAGCTTTAATGTTATTCCTTCTTGTATCAATCTTTCAGTTAGGAGTTGCTCTTGGCTTGGTTTTGGCTATAATCCTAGGAGTTGGACTAAAATTAGGTGCAAAACTATTCACCAGTGACCCCCATGTCATTCAGTTGATAGGAGTTGGCATTCCGGTATCTTTACTTCAGGGGAATTCAATTATAACTTGCATGATCTGATGAATTAGAGTGACTGAATCACTTACTATACTTTTCATGTCAGTTTGTCGCCGCGACTCAGCCAATCAACGCGTTGGCCTTTGTTTTTGATGGTATCAACTTTGGAGCATCTGATTTCGCTTATTCTGCCTACTCTATGGTAACTGCTTTTGCAAAGCAACTAAATGCTATTCTAGTTTCAGCATAAACTTCTGAACTGCAAGCAAACTTATATGAATGACTAACTTAGCTAGTAACAAACTTCGATTTGGAGTAAAAGCTTTCTCTCGGCAATGTTAGTCGAAATGCACGAAAATTTTACATGAAACTGATCAGTTCAAATCCCTGAAAAATAAAACTCACCTTACTATTGAACCATACTAACAAATTAACAATTTTCACTGCAGCTTTTGGTAGCTGTCCTGAGCATTATCTGCTTGGTCATTCTGCACTGGGGTCATGGACTAATGGGGATATGGATAGCTTTAACAATCTATATGAGTTTGAGAGCCTTTGCTGGCTTCTGGAGGTGATCAAATAACTACATTGAAACTAAACTTGATCATAAACCGATTTTGATTATCTGATCCGATTTTCGACAGGTTAGGGACAAGAACGGGTCCTTGGAGATTTCTCAAGAACTGAAGCATTGTTGACAAGATCATAAAGCTTTTGTCCAAGGCTTCTCAATGTACTGCAACAATATAGTTTTTGAGGATTATTAATAAATGCCTGTTTCGAACCTTGTCCTAATCAACATTCTTAAATCTTCAAGGATTCCTCCACTGTTATAAAGAGTACAAGAATGTTCAGAACAATATACTTTGTAAAGCTTGATTTATCTAAATTTAATACTTCCTTCCGTTCCAAAATTATTGTCCAGTTTGAGATTTTAGTTTTAGTACAATTTGAACTAGAAACGAAATCCCAAACTGGACAATAATTATGGGACGGAGGGAGTACTAATTAGCTTTATTCCTCCATCCTTACAAGAAGTTACTTACATGTTTCTTTTTTGTTTTCTGTTTTCTTAGAAGACATTTTTAATTTCCGATAAAGCATATACAAACAATTTTTCATAATGTTGCCCTCGAATTCGTCGTCAATAACTTTATAAATAACCACCACTCACGATCCATAATCTAATTATTATTGAATATAATTTCAATAACTAACAAGATTCACTAACTATTTTTTTTCCAGACAGTTGTTCGTTAAAAAAAAAAAAAAACTCTCTTATAAAAAGGAATGCAGAAAGAAATAAATGATTATACAAATGATGGTGCAGAATTAATGGAAATTTTGTGACAGATTTATCTTTTGACAATGCATGAAGCAATATGCAAAGTAAAATGACCTTTGGTTGCAAAAATCCCTAAACCCAAAACTATAAAGAAAATTTTTATGCTACTCAAAATGTATTTACTATAAAATTTAATTTAATAAAAGCTAAACAGGCCTTGGCAAAGCTAATGAATCAATATATTTTCAGTAATTGAAGGAGTAATAAAACCTTATCAATGTTTTCAATAACGAAATCACTTATGCCATTTTAAATTTCATGATTTTTAGCTCTCAAACAGTCTAATTTTCCCAAAAATGTCTATTTTAAAAATACATGGAAAAAGAAAATTCAATTTACTGCTAGGAAATATTTGTTCACATTACGTTGGGCCTCGCAAGAGTCATTTTAAGCCCAGAAAAGCGGATTAACAAACGGGCCTACACCCTGTAAAAAACAAAAAAACTGGTCCAAATAACGCTGCTATATATATACCGCAGCGGGTGGACATAACTGATCTCTGTGTTTTCCCTGAGAAATAAAAAGTTACTTCGTCAAATTCTGTTGTGCCTTGTACTTTTACGGTTACTACAAGATTGTTTGAGGTCGATTTGGGCTGTTGAATTCAACAAAAATCTCATTGCAAGTTTCTGTTAAACTCGTCTGACTTGCCTTTTTTTTGTGGGTTGTTCTGGTGAGTTTTCATCGCCATTGCTTGTTCATTATCATTTATTGTTATAATTGTTGATTATGTGTTCTTTCCTGTGGTAATAGTATGGTTAAGGGTTTAATGGGTTTTGAATACTTTACTTTTATCTGAAGTACTGAGTTTGTATTTGGCTGTAGTTTTTTAAATATGATTTTTCCCTAATGATAGAAAATTCCGTAATGGAGAAGATATAGATTGAGTTGTATCTTTCGCTTTGAATGATTATTTTTGGGTGAATGTAAAGATGGTTATATCTTGGTTGGTGGGTTTCTACTAATCTATGAGAACGGTTAGGAATTGAAATATCTGAGGCTATCTGCTGCTAGAAGCAATGGCAGTGCTTGATGAAGTTGATGAATCATCAGAGCTCCGGAATAATCAATGTGCGTTTGATATTGCTACCTTACTTCAGCAGCTGCATGTATGTACTGTATTCGCCATTGCGCTGAGTGTGATATGAACACGGCAAATTGGTTTTTCTGGAGCTCTTACGATTTATCAACTTCAGCCCTCCCCCAGTAGAAGTTGGTTAGTTGGTTAGCTCGGAAGCCATTGAGACAGAGAGTTACTTATGATTATAATGCAGGTAGACGAATTCTTGTCTTTTTAGGTGAAGTTGAGATTATGTTGTTTCATCAGAAAAATTGTCATCAATGGGATGATTATCATATTGCTCCATTATCTGAACAATGACAAGGCTGAAATTTGAAATTTTCTTATTGAGTGTGATGGAATCAGAAATTGATGTTGGCTCAGTCCTCACAGCAAGATTCTGGTTTCTGCGTTAGGAAAAACCACCGACCTCTCGAAATTCTTTAAACGTCTGGGGAAGGTCGTAGAGTTACGGATTTATGCCTGTGTTTTTGACATCATTGTTTGTTCACATTATTTCCTGGTCTATGAGGCATCGGTATTATTTGTAGAGTAATCTGAAATCTTCCCTTTTGCTTTGTTGGGTCAGTATGGGAAGTGTTTTTATATGGACATATCTTTAAAATGTTTTTGTAAATTTTTTGCTATGGTATTTTGTGCTTAACATTTAATTTACTAACTAAAGTCCTTTCTTTACTTTTAGAAACTGGGACAAAAAAAGTAAAATCACTAATTTCATTGTTTTTTTTTTCGTTTTTTTTTTTTTTTTTTGGTTTTTGGTTAATAATTTCATTGCTTTCTCTCTTTAACTTCTTCATTTCTAAGCAGTTTTTTGTTATAGGTGGCAAGATGGGCATTATGACAGAGGGTTTCGAAGTGTGGACCATCGAAGAGGATGATATTTTAAGGGCTGCAGTTATGAGACATGGCACAAAGGAATGGCGCCTCATCTCTTCCCTCTTGACCCAAATCTGTGAAACAGTGAGCACGCTGGTATAGATAGCTTGATCCTTCAAGGGATAAGGTATATTTGCCTTACAGAAGTGAGAATACCTAAATTTCTTTTAACATTGGTGTTCTCACTGTATATTTTACTTCTTTCCAGCTCTTTGTGTTTATGAGTGTTTTCTTTTTCATTTTTTTCTTTCTTTTTTTAAATCTTTTGATTTTTTTTTTAATACTTTTTTATATGTTAAAATGGGTATTCAGATACATACTTTATATGCACTTCTTCATGTTAAATAATGAAGAAGGGGGTTTATTATGTAGGGGGCTACGTTTAAGTTTGTAATGTATCTGTTCTTTGTTATATAACTTGTGAAGTCGTACAGGGTGCTGTTCTGGGAATTTGGCTCCCAACAATAATAAGCAAGCTTAATTTCTGTTAGCTGTATTTTGTGGTACCTTTTTAATGGTGAAGGGGGATTTTATACTGAAATTTGCATTGTTAACAAATTCCATCATTCACGAGCAAACTCAATTTTGATTGCTATTGTACCTTGTTCAGTGGTGAAATGAGGAATTCGAACTGGATTCTGTTTTTCTCTTCTGTACTTTCCCTTGAGGCCCTTTCTTGTTCTCTATTTTATATTTCATCAAACCATATTTATAGCAATCGGAAGTCTTATACTGTGGTTTGTGGTGCCATTCCAGACTGTATGGACCCCTGAAGAAGATGAAAATCTACTCCGTCTTGCAAGACTCTGTCCGTTTCAGTGGAGGATAATTGCTTCAATCTTGGGCCATACTGCGTTGCAGACTCTTAAACACTATGAGGAACTTCTTGCTCTTAAATCAGATCACCTAGGGGATATTGGTGAAGATAAGAAGGGGATGCTTTCGGAAGCTGGAGCAGGACAGAATGATCTTAATCTGGAATCAGAGACTCTTATGTTTTGGAACCTTTCAACTGACTGAGGATTTGTAGATGACGCTCATTGAAACAAAAGCTCGACTAGCCTACAATGGTCGAAGACATGCACAAAGGGAGTCAAGGAAAAAGCTGGTCGAAGAGTCTCGCAAGCTTGCTTCATTGAAGAAACTAAGGGTAATGAAGAAGGCTTGGATATACTAGAGCTAACAGAATAATTGTCATAGGAATTTTAATTGATTTTATTTGATAACAGAGTAGAGAAAGAAGAGCCAAGACTTTGTTATTTGTAACACTCTTTTCATCATTATTTATTTTAGAAAGAACTGTGGACAAAATCATGGAGGATGGCGATATCTATGAGTGCAGCAATGTTTACATTTATTATCAGTAACTTCAGGCCGGTGTACTCTACTTCTTATTATAAGTCTTAAACTGTATCAGAGGTCTGAGGTTGGATTTGTTCCAATGCCAAATTTGCCTTAATAATTAATTTTCTTCATTTGGGTTTCGATTTTTATTTCGATTGGATTCTTTGCCTAGAAGTATAACCACAGGCGTGTCAGCTGGAATACTGTTTGCAATCTTGCAGGTATTTTTTGGAATTTATGGGATTAGAAGGAAATCTTTCGATTGGTCTGCCGGCAGTTCTTGGATATATGTACAACCGCTTTTTCCTGAGAAAGACGCTGGTTCAGAAATTATTCCAGATCGACATAATGAAAGCTAGGTAATGGGATCAGCTGTAAGTGGTGGTACTCCTTGATTTCCTTATGTTAATATTAATACTCCCTCTGTCCCGAAATTATTGTTGAGTTTGGATTTTTATTTTTAATACAAATTGAAAAGTAAAAATCCAAATTGGACAATAATTTTGGGAGAGAGAGTACTTCATATATGCCAACAGCAGTTTATTTCATATGGCTTCATCTGATTTAAGAAACTCCTTGGCACAAAGAAATTGGAATCAAAAGGAGTAGCTGAAATGGTAAAGTGTGAGAATGAAAGAAGGAACATCACATCAAATCATGTATGTTGATCAATGTGGGAATTATAGGCCTCATCCAAGCAGCATTCTTTATTTCAGCAGCAAAACCTGAATTTAACTTCAGGGGAGTCAAATCGGTAAGTCGATTGTAGGCCTAGTCAGTCATTCTACCTTTCAAAATTGCAGAATGACCTTAATCTATACTTACTGAGAAAACCAGACTTATCAACATTTTATTGGTTATTGAATAACTGCCATTCTTTTTTTGTTAGGAAGGATTCACCGATCCTCAAAATAACCAGCAGGATAGTACTTGAAAATTAAGGTCAGTTGGCTCTTCTGCAGCTCTCCTGTCGTTGGCGCTGCAAGGAGTCATTTCAAGGATTTTAAGTACAAAACTCCACCATATGTGACTGGGGTAAGCCTTCTGTCATTAACTTAGAATATTTCAGGCCTTGACATTAACATGGGCTATTGGAGATAGGAAGGCTATGGACGAAGTTGAAGATCAAAGTATTATAACCAGGGAAGGATGAAATTTTTGGAATCAATCCTGGGACTGTATATGAAATTACAGAGCTGCTGAAACGTGATTGGGTCGTGGAGATCAAACGTGTGTATCGGAAAAGTTTATTTCATATCTCATCCCATTTAACGCAATGGCAGATGCATCAATTGTCAGTAACTCGTCCCATTTTGAGCCTACTATTTCAGATCAGACACAGAACACTGACAGAGCTAAGCTATCCACCGGTTTAATGTGCATGGCTGAGATGCTGGAAGCCATGGCAATGCAGGGACAAGCTAATAAATCATCTGACCTCCAGAATAATCCATGTGCCTTTGATCTTACTTCACTAAGAGCTATGGCTGATACATCAAGTGTAGGTATCTCATCCGATTTTAAACCTAATTTATCAGACCAAACAGCTAACACAGACCCCGGTGCATAGTTATCCACTGCTGTAAATTTTGTACATGACTTGAGGTACTAGAAAACCATGGCATGGCAGAAAAAAGCTGCTGAATGGTCTGAGTTCAAGAATAATCAAGGTGAACTGTTTGAAGCTATTATACCTTGAAGTTTGCTAAGAATCTGTGAATAGGGACTGGTGGTAGCTAGATTTGTTCGAAAATTGTGCAAGTTCATGCCCCGAGTAGAAGCTCTGGCGAGTTGGTTTGCTGGAAAGGTATTGAGAGCTAAACCACTGGTGTTACTTGCAAATGATGATGCCGCTTGCTTGAGAGCAGGGACAGAACTAGGTCTAGGGGGTGCAAAGGGGGTCCTTTCGACCCTGCGGTCGTCAAATTTTTTAAAAAAAATATCTTAGAATTTTTATAGATTTTTCGAGAAAAAAAAAAATCTAAGTTATAATTGACCCTGCGAATGCTTTGGACTGGTTCCGTCACTGTTGAGGAGGATATTCTGTCACAATGGTGCTGAGGCTGAGTAGTTTCCTGACTGTTGAAGTCAGCTGAGATGGTGTTTTTTTTTTTTTTTTCTTTTTCTTTAGAAATTAGCACCAATGGGGTGATTTTCTTTACACAATAACGTTCTGTTTTCTGATGTTGGGGAGGTACTTAGAAAATGCTAAATCCTTAGCATTTTGTTCAGTAGTTTTTTACCTAAATGTTTGTTCTTCCTGTTAGTACGTTGGCTATGAGAAGCCACCTTTGTAGCATTCTATATACATATAGCTTTCTATTTCGAGATGACAAATCTGTGTTCGGTTGAATTGTGTAACCTTACCCAACGACTTGTTATTTTCTTCTTTTGTGTTAAAAAAAAAAATAAAAAATTGTGAACAAATCATGAACTATGCCAATAGGCCCAACACTGTAAACCTTAAAAAATATATGCAATGTATGTCGAGGGTTGTGGTAACTAAAAGGGTTGTTGTGGAGGGATAAGGATTCTATTCCACTAATTGACGGTAGACACCTACAATATGAAAAAATAAATAAAAATATGTGTTTGGAAAATGCGTTCCGTCGGTTTAATTATGTTTTTACGTTCAATATTTAGTGTATATATGTTTTCACAAGGTGCTTTTAGCCATGCAAATTATATAAAAGAAAAAGTACAACTTTCGTTGTTTTTAATGTATGATCTATTTAATTTTTTGTTCTTTTTAAACAATTAACATCATACAACTTTCGTTTTTAGTTCTTTTTAAACAATTAACATCATACAACTTTCGTGTATTAAACTAGCAATAGCCAAGAGGCGATATAAGAATCATATAAACGACCTCACAAAGGCGGGAAAAAAAAATGTTTTAAGTTCTCCCAATAATGACTTTCTTCTTCACCCGAATGACTCATCTTTTATTTCTCTAATGTCAAATTAGATAAAAACAATAAATTGGTAAAATGAAATCTGTACAGGGAAAATTTAGGTCAATTTGGACCAGGCCGAACATTCCCTGGGCCTTCAAACCCAAATAAATACTGATGACCCGCTCCCCAAATGAGCACCGAGGTTCTGGTTTTCAAATTACATTTCTTCAATTGGGCTATGTATTCAACGGTTTGAAGGCCCTTGAATAGAACCTTGAATATTTCTTCAGGGTTACAAATTATACGTTTCTTCAATTGGGAAGACAGCAAAAACCCTCCAAAGTTTAGGTTTCTGCTATGGAATCATGGTACAAGGAAAATCGAACCCAGAAAAAGAAAAAGCGAAAGCATTCTTCTACGATGGCAATTGATCGGGATTAGCAATCTACCCGAACCAATTATTTCCCACATTCTTTCCTTCCTTCCCACAAAATATGCTGTTCTGACAAGCTTTTTGTCCAAATCTTGGAGGTTCCGATGACTAAATTGACCAGTTTTCATTTGGATGACCAACGGTTTGACAGCCACAAGGGTTCCTTTGGTGGGGTTCGGGGTTCAGGATTGAATTTTGTGGAGTTTGTTAATACGGTTTTGTTCAACCATAGCAAATTGGATCTGAATCCTCCCCCATTGATAATTTTCGTCTCGTATGGACGATCCCGGAGAATCGATTCGGTTATCTTAACTTCTGGGTCAAAACTGTTCTTCCTCGAAATGTTCGTGTTCTTGATTTGGTTATTTTGTCAGGAGAGAAAGAGTTACATTTACCAGGTGCGCTTTACTCTTCTGGGACGCTAGAGAGGCTTAATTTATATGGTCATTTTCTGATTAAAACTCCTCCTGCTGTTTATCTTCCGAAGGTTTTGTGTTTGGAATTGAGATTTGTTAGATTTGGAACGAATGAGTGTATTCCGAAGCTCATATATTGTTCTCCAGCTCTTGAAATTCTCATAATTGAAAAGGATCATTTCGCCCATAACAAGTTGATTGGTTGTAATATTGTTTCTCCTTCTCTGAAAACTCTTCACGTCGATTTTCATAATGAATGTAAATGTGATGAGGGTCATTTCAAGCTGGAAATTCATACCCCTGCACTTGAATTTCTCGTTTTGAAACATGGTTGGCCCAGCCAAATTTACTTGCGAGATCTATCATCTTTGAATGAACTTGATTTTGATGTTGTCAAGTTGAATGAACTTGATTTTTATGTTGTCGAGTTTGATGATGCGGATATGGTTGTTGAGATGATTCAAGGTTTTAATCGTGTGAAGTCTATGAAATTGTCAGAGGGCACCATGCGTACTCTTAGTTTGGCGACCCTGCAAGTTTCTACTACTTTTGAGAGTCTAGTCAAATTGGATATCGAATTGGACGATGAATGTGAATTGACCCTTCTGATGAATTTGATTAATTGTTGTGTTAATCTTGAAGTCCTAGAGATAAGTACTCGTTCCATTGCTCCTTGGAAGGATCCTATTAGCATTCCCAGATGCTTTTTCTCCAGTCTCACTCGAGTTTCATTCAAGGAATTCAGTGGCTGTCAGGATGACATGGCCATGTTGGAGTTTATTTTGAATCATGCTTTAGTACTGAAAAGAGTGGATCTGCATTCTACATGGGAGTATTTTGATGAATTTCCTGCTCTGAAGGAAAAGTATTGTACACTCCAGAAGATATCCATGTTCTCCAGAGCCTCTCCAACCTGTAAAATCTTATTTGTTTGAGATAGTTCAGATGCCTGAATGTTTGAAATGATGAATTGTTTTTGAAAGATCTAACAGGTAGCATGTATCATTTTCTGCAGGCATCCATGTAACCAACGGAATCTGTGAATCTATTGTTTCTTTCCATCTTTGAATTCATTGTCGATTTGGCTACTGTGATCGGTTTTGTTTCATTTACCCGTATTAAAAAGTTTATGTTCTATGGTGTTGAATGGAGTTACACATTTCACTCTTTTAATGTAGATAAGGGCCTCTCATCATTCCTCATAGGTGAATCTTATCTGAGAATTTTGTCTTGTGTAGATTTAAGTTGATTTCTGTTTCTACCGACATTTGGTTAGTCGAGATGTCCCTTGTTTGACCAAATAGATATTAGCAGTTCGTCAAAATCATCTGGCTTCAAGTGTAGAGAGCAATGGAAGGTTCTCGCCATTGCCATTGCCATTGCCATTGTTCTGTGAAATTGACACAACTTGGACAATGGACATTGGAAATTGGGTTCAAGTTTTTGCTGTAACTTCTCATGCTCAAAGCCTTACTTTACTAGACCATCTTTCTACTTGCATTTATCTTCCTTAGATTGTTTCACTTTTATATCCCTAATTCACCTGCGCCACAATTAAAAAGCCATCTTGAATGGGGTTATAAATTGTTGTTGTTCCTCCGGCTATTTTGAAACCATGATCAGCTCATTTTTCCTTCTTTGTACAAAAAGGAGAAAAAAAAAAGCATTATTTTTATAAACATAAATGCCGATATTCTAAACATAAAAGTTGACCACACATAATCCTCAATTTAACCATTAGATGAAGTGTAGGAATAAGTAGAAAATTCCCTATCTGGGCCGAGAATACCCAAATTAAATCTAAACAACACGGGAAAGTTGGATCCCAATTTCCAATTCTGGAGGAACCATCTCCAGAAAGAAGATGGAATCGGGAAATGGTCTCCTGTTGATAATATTGATAGGATTAGCAATTTGAATCAATCATTTGTCACATTCTCTCTTTCCTTCCCACAAAATCTGCTGTGGCAACAAGTTTCTTGTTGAAAAGTTGGACCCTTTATTGGACTAAAGTAATCAACCTTGATTTTGATGATCGATTGTGGCCTCGAAAAAATTGGTGGCACCGCGAAAGTGATCATGATGATGATGGTGATGGTGATGTTCCTAAAATGAAATTTGCACTATTTGCCAATATGGTTTTGAATAACTATAATGTATTATTCTCCATTAACAAGATTCGCCTTGCAATGCTGCATACAGATGGTCTATTTGCATATTTTAGGGTTAAGGCTGCTATTGTTCGAAATGTTCGAGTTCTTGAATTGGTTCCATTGTGTGATTTTGGTGATGGGTGTGAGCTGGATTTTATCTAACCAGCTGCACTCTTCACTTGTGGTACACTAGATGTTTTGAAAATCAATGGGTGTATTCCTGTTTTCAAAGTTCCACATGATGTAATTCGTCTTCCAAAACTTGTTGTTTTGGAGCTTATATGTGTTGGGTGTGTGACTACTGAGTTTCTTAGCAAGCTTATCTCTGGTTGTCCCGTGTTCCAATCTTTGTTATTCAAAAGCGTGCATTTTTGGGATGGGCTGATGGATTTCAGAATATCTTCACCTTCTCTGAAAATTCTCGACATGTTCTTTGAGGCTTGTGATGAGTGCGTAGATGGAGCTGGAGACGATGTTTTGAAGCTTGAAATTGATGCACCTGCACTTGAACGTCTCGTTTTAAGATATGCTAATTCCAAGAAGGTTTGCTTACAACAGTTAGCATATCCGAATGAAGTGGTTTTTGATCTTATTTCTCCTGGGAATGATGTTGAAGATAGTGAGTTCATCGTGGAATGAGTTCAGCGTTTTAATCGTGTGAAGTTTCTGGCGTTATCAGAGGGAAGTTTGTGTGTTCTTAGTGGAGCTACCAACCAACTGTTAGCTACGTTTGGAAGACTAACCAAGTTGGATATCAAATTTAGCAAGGGCTGTGAATGGAGCTGTGTAATGAATTTGATTAATGTTGTATCAAATTGGAAGTCCTCAACATTACTAATGAGAAGTATGACTCCGATGATTGGGTGGATCCTATTGATGTTCCCAGATGCATGTCATCTAGTCTCACAAAAGTTTCATTTACAGGGTTTGAAGGCTTTGAAGGGGAGATGGCCATGTTGAAGTTTATACTAAATCATGGTTTAGTGTTGAAAAGGGTTGATCTATGCATCGATCCCCCTGGTGCAGACCGGGACAGTTATTATCGTGAAAGTTGTTCCGAGCATCCACAACTAAAGTTGTCGGCCTCTTCTTGTCAAATAAAAGAGAAATCTGCGGCCTCTTCTAGTGTTGAAAGTTGAAAGTTGTCGGCCTCTTCTTGTCAAATAAAAGAGAAATCTGCGGAAGAAGATAATGAGGTTGTTCCGAGCATCCACAACTTGTGTAGTTTCACTTGTCTGAGGTGTCGCTTGAGAAAGAAAGATCTAAACATGCTTCTACGTAGAATTTGGAATCTTTAGTTTTTTTTTTTTTTTTGGTTGAATCCACTATAAAGTGCTCATGCAACTGATTTCCATGAAAGATTTGGCTTCTGTTAGTTAACTTTCGTTGGTATTGGTGTCCGAAATTGTATTCTCTGTTTTGAAGTGCTTCGTCGTAAGAAAGGGGAAGACCTGCTGTACTTTTGGAATGAAATGCTGTGCATCAGATGTAAAACCTGGTAGGTTTGTTGAGCTGCTTTTGGTTGAACAAAGGGATAGTGAATTGTTGCTATATGTTGACATTACGAGTTTAATGTGCTTTTTACAAATTAGCAGTTTGATCATTTGTTACTATGTTTTGGTCATTTTTTACAAGATAATGAGGTTGACATGCAGTGTCACTCGATGATGATAGCTATGGTTACTGGTTAGGATTGTCGCAATAATTCTTTTTTTTTTTCTTCCTTTTTTCCTGTATGGTGGAAGAAAGAAGATGAAAGAGCTAGTAGGAATGTAGGAATACCAAGCAAAGATGAGGAAAAGCAGCTAAAAACTCGTGCTTTACACTAGAGCCTGATGGTTCTCATTTCAAGTAGTCTTGTAGAATTGTGACAGCAAAGATCATATTCCGTGGATTTTCAGAGTTATCATCTAAATTCATTGGAAGATGAACAGGTATTGCTTGTTCTGTTTTTTCAGTACATAAGTTAACAAAACAGGACACAACTTTCTTTTTGCAGATTTCTTGAAGGTGGTAAAATCAACAAGTTTTTTTTTTTTTTTTTCCCATTTTCTTCTTGTTTTTGTTCATCCTTCACCTTAGAATCTTTGCCTTTCTTTAACGCGAATTTAAAAACAGGTCTCAGCATCATTCTATGCCTATCAAATTCTCTCCATGGACACCATTTTCCTCTTTACATTTGTCTGATCTCTTCAAATAAAGGTGCGGATCGATACCCGAGTATTTCGAATCCTTCAAATTTGTAGTATGACATCTCAATATGCATAGTGCAGAATTAAGTTTTTGCACATGATTCGTTGTGAAGATAAACATCCTCTCTTTGACCACAGGCTGACCATATATATATATATTCGATCAGTAAATTTCAGAAACCAGACATTGTAACCTTATCTAGTATATTAGTACTATTTTTCTTCTCCTCTTCTTCTTGTCCAGACTCCATTCTTTGATATCTGCACTTTTGTCGCAATCCCGCTAATCTCTTCCCGGGTGAGATCAAGGAAGCAATCAACATCTTAAATCACAATGATTTACTGCTCCTTGAGTCAATCAGAAAGCTGCTTGAGCTCTGCATTGTTTAGTAGACTGATGAAGTGAGTTTCAGATCAAAAATATCATACTTCCATGTAATTTTCTATATGGCGTGGTTGATTTCTGAGTTCCTGGTGGACTGCAAAGCAAAATAACCCGGCTTCCACGTTTTTCCAGTCTTCTCATTTCAATCATTTTCCCTTCTTAAGAGAGCTTTGAGATCATTCATGATTTCTTGCTTCGTCTGAGGGGTCCATAGCCAGCCTATAACAATATTTGCAGGATGCTTAAAGTTTATCCAATTCCACTGACTCCCCGCATATATTCATATAGAGTTTACTCGATATTCTAATTATTTTGAGCTCGATCATCTTGCCTTCTGTCATTTTCCTAATCCGCGCGTTTCTCTGTGTGAATGTATATGTATCTCTTTTGGAAAACATGAATGGCTTATTCCACATTTCTGCTAATGCATTTAAGAAAATTGGTAGCTAAATTAACTTTCTCTATAGATTTATCTAGATGTCTTATTTCCATGGATTTCACCTAAGATGGTCAGAATGTGTAAAGTAATCAAAACATGTATAAGTGGGGCTCTCTCATCAATCAGTTAATCATTTTTAAAAACCACAAGATATATGTATATGTTCACAAAAAAAAAAAAAAAAAATCAATATGTTTTAGTACCACCAATTTGTCGAACCCAAACTCACATTTGTACTAACTCTAAACTCAAAGGATTGTCATATACTGTCAGTAATCTACCCAAAAAGCTAAAACACAGTCAGTACTACATAACTTGAAAACTATAAAACACCAAAGAAAATTTTCAAAAAACACATTAAAAAAGTCAACGCAAATGCTAAAACTCATCAATTAATAGTGCAAAACAATAACATTGTATTCAACAATAGGATCACCGCTAATTCGATCAAACGTGTAAGTCTCCGCGGTGGCGGATCCCCTCGCCAACTGAAAACCGCCGGAACCACCGACGACCGGCAACTCCCGGTACCCGTGAAAAATAGGGTTCCGCCCCAAAACACTCAACGCGCTACCCTTGTACTTCCCGTCCGTAAAAACAAAGTTAACTATTGTAAGCAAGGCTTCCTCGCGCTGCCGTGAGGCGGAAGCGTAGATCCCCCGAGCATAACCGATGAGCTTGGAATCCGGTTCGGGTCCAACCGTCAACTTGTTATCGACCACCATGACCAAACCGAAAAGTGTACTTAACCCGGAAGTGACATTACTACTGGCCTTAGCAACTGGCACTGCGGTGGGATTTTTGCCGTAGATATTCTCATGGCAATAGAATTTCAGCTTAGTTAGCTTCTTCTCCACTGCATTCGAGAGCTTCGATCTGAGCCGTTTTTCCACATCACGGGGGAGATTTGCTCGACCCGATTCCGCCATAGTTGCCATAATAACGAACACTAAGAGAATAAATCTCGTTGTCAAGAACTTTCTTCTCTTCATTTCTTCAGAGTAATTTTGTCAAACATCTGAGAAACTAGAGTTTTGAACGAGATGTAGATGGAGTGGAGATTGAGGAAGATTTAGTTGACCGAAGAAGTTTCATGTGAAATCACAGCTCATTTTTTTGTTTTTCTTTTGTTTTTTTGAATTACCTACTGCATGAATTACAGAGATTTGTTTATTAAACAAATTAAAAAAATAATCATAAAACTTTGAACACCTAATGCTTTACCTGCGTTGTTTAATTAAACCATATTTTAAAATTTCCTTGAAAGATTAAACTGTCGTGTACTCGCGTTAAAAGAATAGAGGTCCACTCTGCATAGAACGAAGGAAAGAAGACATTGATTAAAGCTTTAGGATGGGTTACAAAATTTAATCCAACTGCGTCATAAAAGATCCAATTAGTGATAATCTTCCTCTCTCAACTATTTTTGTTGCTTCTTTTTTTGTGTGTTTCAAGTGTACATTTTCGGTTTTAGAAACTAATTTAGATTTGAGTTTAATTATTACTTGTAATACACACGTTATAATACTCGTTCCGAAAAGTACAAATATTAGTAGAATTTTTTTTTTAGAAATATTAGTAAAAAGTTAATATTCTCTTAAAATCTGTGAGATAAAAGAACTTATCGTACCTTGTCGTTTGCAGACAAAAACTTAGGGCGAGGCCCGGCCAGTGTCTGGTTTGCACATGGCTCTCCGTTAAAATATTATAAATTGTACAGTTGCGTATTATTCAAAAAGAAATTTTTTAACGGAGTAACAAATTGCATTTCTTCGGTCAAACTCAAATGTCAATTTTCGTGGTTGGAACGTTCCCAGGGTACATTTTCTTATTAGAAAAGGAAAACAAATACTCCTTCTATTCCAAAATTATTGTCCAGTTTAAGATTTAACTTTTAGTAAAATTTGAACTAAAAATGAAAAACCAAACTGGACAATAATTATGGGACGGAGGGAGTAAAAAGTAAAAAAATCTCAGCATTATAAAATGTACTATTTCTCAATTGCGAACATGTATATATGGAGTATGATAGAGAAATAAAAAAAATCATTAAGTGGGGAAAAATAGCAAAAAAATGCTGTTGGAAAAAAAAAGATCCAAATAATTTGAAATACGTAATACTGGTAAAAAATTGAGCTGGTGAAAATGTTTGGTTGGTGAAGATTTTCGTGAAAACAAATTTTTTAACTGATTAGCTAACGGGAATGTGACACTGCGACCAATTGGGAGATCATACATAGTTTCATAACTCCATCGGGTCGTGATATTATTAGGTTGTACCTTAGAAAAGCAATATCTCAAATACTTACTTTGCTTCTCTTTCAGACATGAATAAACTAAGTTTGACAATTTAATATTCTTTCCCCATAACAACTATTTTGACTTCACTAATCACTTACAATCTATATAAGGAGTAAGCTGGCTAAAGATGTTTAACAATATTGCAAGGTGATTTTTTTTTTTTTAAAAAAAATTGTCCGGTACAAAATTGTTTTTATAAAAATGAATAAAGCCAGAACTAGAATCTAATTATCCTGGTACATTCGTAGTATTTGGTGAAATGCGTACTAAGTTTTTTTATATATAAAATAAGAAATACTTCGATATTGACGTATTTATATCCATAAGAACTTCCTCTACCCGAATGATCATTGATCAAATCAACGTTAACACTTTAACTATAATAAACTTATGAAATTTTTTTTTTTCGTTGTACTATCTCTCCTGTTAAAACTTGAGTCTCAACTGGAAAATCAAGTTCTTATAGTGCCTATCTTTCTCGGGAGCCTAATCCGTGTAGATTTTGATCACAGTACCATTAGTTCCTTTCTCCAAACTTTCGCCGGAGGCCGGAGCCAACTTAATTAATTAAGCATGTGCTTCCGCTTTAAGTGTCGACAGCGCTAGTTTGCACTCCGTCTTGCACACAAAAAAAGTATTCATAATTATTGTAAATTTTTTTAAAAATAATTATACTCCTTCCATCTCAAAAAAATAGTCCACAATGAGTTTTGAGTTTTGTACTGTTTTTAGTACAAATTTGAAAACTTAATGTGGACTATTTTTGTGGGACGGAAGTAGTATTTACATATTACAATGATGATTATTTTAATATGAGACAGAGAAAATCTATATTTAATATGGCTCTGATACCAACTTAGAATAATAGGGAGTGACTTGATTAATTTTATTATGCATAGATATGCATATATATAGGCATGAGTAATCCCTATTTACAGAGTTACAACCGTGGCTATATAATTATCACAATATGGATCTGCATACCATTTGTTGAGAATATTTTCCAATAAACATCGATTTAGCACTATATGTTGATTGGTTGAAATAAACCTTCAAAGTAGATTAAAGTTAGGTATAGATACTTTGTATCTTAAAGACTTCAACTATGGGACCTGTATTGCTGTCAACGTACGTGGTGACGATTGGATACTGTATGTAAGAATTGAAAGGGGAGATCATTTTTGTTTGAAAATAATGTTGGAATTGATTAAATGTTAACAAAAATGAAGGAAACAAAATAGATCGTCTCGTCCATTTTATCCATTTTTTCCACCCAACATGACGAACCGATTTCTTATTCATTCAAAACTTAAATTGCACAAGAGCAAGCATTATTCAAGACGGCCATGAAGTACTCCCTCTTTTCCCCCAGCCACAAAAATCACACATTGCAATTTGTTCATTGGACATTTTTTTTTTCCTATTTACAAATTAAAATACTTTGTGAATTATTTTTCTAAGATGGAGAGAGTTTTTATATGGACCCTGATACTGTAAGATGGGGCGACGTAGTCTAATATACAATAAAGGCATAAATTAAGCTGCATGACATGGAGTAGAACGGATGAAAATGAGAAGCAAACTCAATCCAAAGTGATGTAATTCAATTATTTGCACAATGCAATCCACAGGAAAATTAAGAAAAGAAAAACGAAAGAAAGTTGTTTAAGTGTTTGACGGTTTCCCACACAAACTATTGAACCAAAATGACGTACGCAGTGTTTTTATTTAGAGAATAGCCCCGATGAAATAAAACTAAAGCATTGTCAGGTTTTTCCAGGGATCATCTATTAATTAAGCTGAGTCCGATCCCAAACTGCATTGTCCATACAAAGGTACTGAATCCGAATCAATGTTGCGCGGAATAGTATAAAGATCTGAAAATGATTCAGTCTCATTAGACATTAAACCAGTTAATTCTTCTTGACCATGCTCACGATTAAGTCCCCAAGGATGCCGAAGTGTAAACTTCCTTAACCTTTCAAGTTCCATGGCAACTTCCTTCATAGTTGGTCTGTCTACACCATTCAAACAGAGGCATCTTTTCACCAACTCGGCAATTTGTTGGAGTTGTTCAAGTGCCCCCTCCCGAAGGACTTGAGGCTCGAGAATCTGAAACAATCGATTCTCCTTTATTGACACGATGAAGCATGTTGCGAGGTTTCGTTGTTCTTGGTTTCTCTCCATGTAAAGTGCCTTTTTCGCTGTCATTAGTTCAGCAAGTACAACACCAAAGCTTTACACATCGCTTTTCTCCGTCAAGTGGCTTGTGTGGAAGTATTCAGGATCTAGGTATCCTAATGTACCTTGGACTAATGTGGTCACTTCTGTTTGATCCATTGGTACTAATCTAGAAGCTCCAAAATCTGATATCTTTGCAGTGTAACTCTCGTCGAGTAATATGTTGGCCGACTTAATATCCCTATGAATAACTGGTTTAGAAGCTGCAGAATGTAAGTAAGAAAGTGCATTGGCAGATTCGGCCGCAATCCGCAATCGATTTTCCCATGGCATTCCTCTGTTTTGGATATGTTGGAAAAGAGATCCGTTTGACACATATTCATATACTAATAATGGTACTTCTGTCTCCAAACAACAACCTAAAAGTTTGACAACATTTCGATGGTTAACTTGTGTTAAAATTACTACCTCATTGATGAATTGTTCGATTTGGCTTTTGTCTATGGTTCTTGATTTCTTGATAGCCACAATCCGTTTATCTGATAAAATTCCTTTGTATACTATGCCATATCCTCCTCGGCCAACAATCATGTCATCTGCATAGTTATTAGTGGCTTTCTCTAGTTCGTTGGCCGTGAAAATCATAGTCGATTCTACCCCGCCTTCAATTGAAGAGACTTGTTGCCTCAGCAAAAAACCACCATTTTGCTGGAAGAATTTTTCCTTGAGTTTTACAAGCCTCCTTCTTTTGACACCGTAGTATATCCATATTGTTCCCATTAATAAGGACAAAATTCCAAATGTCAAGCCTGCAAAACATTGATTACACCTCCATTAATGGTAGTATTGATGCTGAACAAATGGAGACTAAGCTAGAATGAAAATTCGGTGGAAAACATAACACTTAAAAATGATTGCAGGTGCAGGGTAAAAATGACTTAACATAAATTATGGAATAAACACACAGAAAACGAGCTCTCAAAACTATATATACACTTACCAAGAGAAAGTTTAACAACAGGAAATTTGTTATTGGCTACGCAACCAAGACCATCTTTTCTACCATCTCCGACATCCCCTTCCGGACAAGAACAATGATAACTACCGGGCATATGTTTGTACAATGATTAGTTTTAGGATCTGCACATTCATCGATGTCTGCAACAAAAATAGACATCCAAAGGAAAAATGATGAAAGGTTAATTAGTATTTTCTCCAGTCTTGTTTATATATAAGGCATCTTGTATCTAAGTGTTAACGTTATATTTAAATGCGGGCCCATTTTCAACATGCGAAAAAAAATAAATACCAACAAACACTTGATCCAAGTGGTAAAGGTATTGAGTCAGTTTAACTATGATTTGGGTTCGAACCCGGGCATAGGCATGCAGTAGTGATTAAAATATTTATTTGGAGAGTTTTGCCTCCCGAAAGAGACCTATCCGGCTCGAATCTGGGTTAGTTGGAGCAATGACTTCGGACATTGGATACGTAATATATAAAAAAAAAGTAACTAGTTTCCGTAATTATTAGAAATGAATTATTTATGCTTTATATTAATGATGACTTGAGTGATACAGGAGGAGAAATTAACCTTGGCAGCCCTGAGTGAGATAGGGATTACCCTCGTAACCATCCTCGCAACTGCATCTGTATCCACCAAATCCCGTGTCCGAATCAATGCAGT